TCAAACACTCGTTACAAAGATATAAATTGAAGGAAGAACATTTTACTATTTTCAAATACTTTTATTATCAGAAATTGTGTGGAACAAGCAGCATATGAACAATTTGAACACAAATAAATCAAAAATATGATGTGCAAAAAGGCAGTAACCCTCTGGGGAATAAAATAATCATGCAAAGTCTACATGAATTAAGACATTCACATGTATGTTCACAGAACCAGAGTTCTTATTATTATTATTGCCAATTTAACAGAGGTAGGTTATAGTGCAAAAAGTAACACAAGGACATCATTTCTAAGTAAAACACCATATTCCCTGCATTTTATTAGTGATGAAAATATAAGTGTTAACATCGGCGTCAATCAGCCAACTTTTGGCCGATTGCCGATTATTCTTTAATGGCTATAATCGGCCGATTTAATTAGCCCTAATCAATTTGTCAGTGAACAGGGAGCCGGTGTCGAGAATGGGGGTGATGTGGTCGGATGATTTGGTGCGGGTGATGATCCAGGCAGCAGAGTTTGTACTTTTCCAAGTACAATTTACCATTTTATCCACACCCACTCTTCTCTGGCAACAAAAATAAAACTGTAGATTCCTGACATGTGAGATATCTCTAAAAAGAAGACAAGGGATTTGGCATTTGTATTGTGAATTGTGGTATCCCAGCTGAGGTTAGACGAGATAAAGTCTTGTCCTGCCTTGTCCTCTCACGTAGCAACACGACGGGACAGCACACGTACAGTCCGAGCAGTCAGAGCGTCGCACCAGGGACTGTTTGAAATGTCCTCAGTGGCGTTTGATGAATGGGCACAGAGTCGTGGTGATAATGAGGTGGAATGTCAAGTCCGTTTCCTCCAAAATCAGAGTTTACTCTTCTAGTTTTCCCTCCTGTGTTCTCAGTGTGTGCTGATGTTTTTGGCAGCAGATTCATGAAAGGGGAAGTTCAGCAAATCAATGATAAACTAGAGGGGACTCCTCATTGAGCAGGTGTGGTTATTGTTTGTGTGTTTAGTTCAGACTCTGACATCCCAAAGAATGCTTCAACAAAGTCTTTCTGTCCTGTAAGTGATTACATGGACAGGGTCGGGGATTAATGGAATACAAGTAACTGAATTATGTATTAGAAATACAAAATATGAGTTTAAATTGGTGGTATTCTGGATACAGTTAGTGTCTATGAAATAGATTACTTGAAGGGATTACTTTGTTTTGTTGTATTTGCTGCAACGGCATGAACTGAATGTGAACATCAGTTCGATTGCATTGTGTTTTTATGGGGAACGTTCCAACTGACCACGAGTGAAAAAGCGCTGCTGTTTTGAGCTGAACTTTTGTTGGACATCCTGCTTCTATTTATTATCGCTGCTCCCTTTGAACGCTCTGCAGTGGTCAAAGAACAGCTGACTCACGACGCTGAAATGACCTGTTATCTGTACGACACTCCCTCATTTCACAACACAAACCTAAAAAAGGTGTCAGCTGGCCAGAGGGAGATCCCGAGTAAACGGGAAGTTTAGAGACCGTTCTTTATTTATCAGAGGAGGGGGTGGCTGGGGTGTGACTTTTTTTTGTTGATCCTCCCAAAGCCACAGATATTTTTCCTTGAGCCTCCCTGAGTGATTAAATTATATTAAATATATTAATTATATTATATTAAATTAGATTAAATTATTATAAATTAGTTGTTAGATTTTTAATTCACGACCGCTGGTTATTTCGTGGAAACAGTTTATTTTTGGCCAAATTTTATTTGAGACATAGAATAAAGTGATTTTGATGAAATATCACAATTTTAAGCACATTTTTAGTTTTGTTTTTTAATTTCGTTTATTTCTGGTTTTACAATTTCTGGCTTTGATAGATGGATGGAATTTTTGACTTTTGTTTGTTTGTTTTTGTGAAAACAAGGAAGGCATGTTTTCTTTTTAAATAGCTGTATTTTACTGTCGATTTTTTAAAGAAAACATGCATTTTTCAAACCCGAGCAGCTTTTTGAAGGCGTGTTTTCTTCTGATGTCTCTGCGGACAAAACATTTTCCACTTTCTCCTCCCCCACAGTGTTTCTACAGACACATGACAGATTAAAGGAAGATAAACAAACAGCGTGAGTGGTCAGACTGAATTCCCTGAAGCACTTCAGTCCATTTAGATTCCACGACATACTGAGTGCTGATTCCCTGTGTCGTGGGACATTCTCATCCTGGAGGAGAGCAGTCACTCTGTAGTTGCATCAGTGAGAGGATGATGTGAATCATCTGCTGTCAGTCAGATCTCAGCCTGTCAGAGCGTCGCCTCAGCAGAGCTCAGAGACATTTTTTGGTCGCACGGTTTCTCTTTGTAGTTTTGTTGTGTCTCTTTCTTGTCATTCGGTGACTCTTTGAAGTCATCTTGTGTCTTTTTAAGATATATTTGTGTCTTTTTTGGTCGTTTGTTATTTTGTAATTCCTTTGCATGTCTTTGCAGTCAGTAGAGTCTCAGCATCAGTTACAGTTACAACTGAGCTACAGCAGCACAGCAAGCAGCATTAGCAGTGTCCCAGTACATAGCATTAGCAGTGTCCCAGTACATAGCATTAGCAGTCTCCTCAGCTGTATCCCGGCAGCAGCGTTAGCAGCAGAGAAGCCGGACTTGCTCGAACGGTCAGCTGGAAAAACGAAGATCAAGGACGCGGCAACACAGCCCTGCCACAGCAGCAGCCCATGGGCAAACAAATCAGTCTCCAGCGTGCCGCTGTCCAGCAACCTCGAATCTGTAGGGGAGGAGGGGCGGACACGACTCGCGGCAGTATTTTGAATTTGAGTGCAGTAACCGTTTTGGCCCAGTCTTACATACAGCGCCTTTAAAGGTAATTTTTTGTCTCTTTGAGGTATATTTGTGTCTTTTTGGTCATACATTTCCTTTTTGTAGTTTTTTGGGTCTCTTTCTTGTCATTCTGTGACTTTTTGAAGTCCTCTTGTGTCTTTTTAAGATATATTTGTGTCATTTTTGTTTCTCTATTTTTTGTAGTTCCTTTCCTCTTGTGTTTTGTTGTTGTGTCTCTTAAAGGTCAGTGTTTGTTAGGGCTCATTTATGCTCCCTTTATGTACAAAAATGTATACGTCCATTTCAAATGATGTTACCGTCACTGCCCACATACTTCCATGCACCCTTTACGTTGGCATGGATGTTAACCAATATATCCACCAGGAGGCAGCCCAGCGTCAAAAGTTTATGACAACAACAAACTCAAAAACAAACATGGCGACTGTGGAGGAGATATTGATAATGTACCTCTTGCATAAAAGACAAAAACAGAGGCAGCATTGTAGGAGGCGGTGGTCGGTGAGGCTGTTAAATACATCGCGACTGGAGGACGGAGAATTCTTTTCTCTAGTACTGCCGATGAGAGAAATTGAATTGTTATTTCTTCTTTGTGTCTCACTAGAGCTAAGCATCGGGTAGTGACAGCAACACTGCCCCCACGGTTCCTGGTGGTACTGCTCCGTTTGGCCCGTATCCATAAGCTTTATGGAAACGTGCAGAAATACGGACGAAATGAACGCAGAGCACGGACAGAAGGCTGCGTCCGTATCTGGAGCCATATTTAACGTTGAGCATGAATGAGCCCTTGGTTTTTAGTTTTAGTTTTTCTGTGTGTCTTCCACTGCTATGCTGATGACACCCAGCTCTATCTTCCAAACTCACCAATATCTTCAACTGCATCAATGAAATAAAGTCCTGGATGGCAGTAAACTTCCTTCAACTAAATGAAGCTAAATCTGAAATCATTCTCTGTGGCCCCTCTGACAACATCAACCTGATATCCAACAGTCGGTCCACTCTTATCAAACCTCATGTCAAGAACCGCGGTGTCATTTTCGATTCTGCACTCAAGTTTGATAAACAGGTCAACTCAGTAGTCAAAGCCAGTTTTTACTGACTTCTCACCATCGCAAAAATCAAACCATTCCTCAGTTTCGAGGACCTAGAAAAAGTCATCCATGCTTTCATTTCCACCTGCTTGGACTAATGCAACTCGCTTTACACTGGAATTAATCAGTCATTTCTCTCCCGTTTGCAAGTAGTACAAAACGCTGCAGCCAGACTTTTGACAGGTACCCGAAAGAAAGACCACATCACCCCAGTCCTAGCCTCTCTCCACTGGCTGCCAGTGCAGCACCGTGTTGATTTTAAACTTCTTTTATTCACATACAAAACGGAGTGGCCCCTTCCTACATGACAGAACTTTTAACCCCATACTCCACCTCCAGACCCCTCAGGTCGGCTGACCTCGGGCTGTTCCACGCACTAATTTTAAACTCAGGGGTGACCGTGCCTTTCTTGTTGTTTTGTGTCTCTTTGTAGTTATTTTGTGAGTCTTTGAGTCTTGTTGAGGTATATTTGTGTCGTTTTGTTTCTCTTTGTGGTTCCTCTACATGCCTCTATTGTTTTGTTGAGTCTCTTAAATGTCAACTTTTGCCTCTTTAAGGTAAACTTGTGTCTCTTTGGTTGACATACCCAAAATATTGCTCACATATGCAGTTCAGGAATATTTCCGGCGTGGGCTCATGTGTGAACGGGAGCAGGGATTTTGATTTGATTTGAGTTTCCCTCAAGACCTGCAAACATTTCAGGAAAAATGCTGGTTCAGCTGTGATGTGAGTGAAAGCAGTAACATTGCACGGACAAGCACATAAAGCGTCTCATCAGTCTGATTAAGGACGCTTTCACACAGTCAGACTCCACTGATGATGTATTTGAATCTAAGAGACATTAGACTTTTTGAATATTAAATACATCACAGGTGCACTGACAGTGGCCACACACACATCCGTGTGTCCTGACCCGCTCTTCTTCCCCTTCCATTGAATTTTATGAATCATTCTTAAGTGTTGCATCACAGCCATTGACTAGAATTCCCCATCGATTCCAGCAGTGCCTGAAAGGGTGTTCCCAGTAACTTACTGGGAACTCTGTGTGAAAGAGGCTTAAAGATATTTCTGTTTCTTCTCTCCTAGCTTGAGTCTGGATGATCGCAGCGGCAGCATGACGGCATGGAAACACGCCCGTCTGTGTCTCTTTGTAAGTGCAGCATTCTGCTGAACTGCTTGTAGCTCCGACACAAGAGTGCTGAGTCACAGTGTAACTTATTATATATACGTGACAGCTTTGCCATCTCCAGACTACTTAATACTGTTCAATTTTATCTTCCAGGTTATCTTGAGTCTGATCAACCTGTCAAAAGAAGGCTGTGAGGATTATTTCACCGTGGAACGGATGGTATATGTTAATCTTTTCTTTTATTTACACCAGCAAAATGAAAAAAGTGAAGGCAATGAAGTATCTCCTGCTCCTGCTTTTCAGAGGTCTGAAACATTAAATACTGTTTGCCAATATGTCATCTTTGATAGGCAAGAACATGTCACCTTCTACACAGAGTGGCTTTAAAAGGACTGAAAAAGTGCAATACTGTCCGTTTATGACCAGTAACTTCCTGGTCACTGTTTGTTGTCAGCAAACAACTCAAACAGCAGTAAATAGTGTCATTCTTAGGGTCTTCAGCACACTGGTCCTCAACCAGGGAGTTCCCCCAATTAATTCACTACAGTAGTGAGTCCACTGTGAGTAAGAGTCATAAGAGTGACTCCTCTGATCACAGGTTTGCAGGACCATTTCACTCACACTGACATGTTTACTGGGATTTTAAAAGTCCAGTTTTATGCCTAGTTCACACTACACGACATCAGCCCGATGCAGCAGCGTACGTTGTCAGCATGGATCGTGAACGACAGCGAGTGTCGTACGTGATAATCCATTGTTTCATCTTGTGTAGTGTGTCATAGTAGACGACAACCGACACCACGTCCGGGACGCCTCACAACGTCCCCACAGAAAGTCTAACATGTTTGATTTCCTTTTTGTTTTCCACGACTGCTCCCGTCACAGCCGTCACTTTGACCAATAGGAACACAGAGCGATCTGCTACCGTGGAAACTGTAGGACAACAGCCCAGCCTTTTAGGTATTTCCCGTCGGGACGTTAGCACACAGAGTGAAAAGGAAACAGCAGAGGCACTTTATCAACCCACTGAGTACTGCCATTAGCATCAAGCTAGCAAAGATAGTGTCTGGGCCTTTACTCACCACAACTGCAGAGTCTCCCAGCTTCATTTCAAACACACTACATCATAGACACGCCGTTATTTATTAATCCCTCTGTAGTTTTATATTTTTACATTTGATCCGCTCCCGTTTGCCTTGATAAAGTTAATGCATCGCGCCGTCATTTCAAACTCAACACTTCCTGTATGTGTTTCAAATTAAAAGCCATTTTGATGTTGGTTGAAAGAATCCCTTCATTTCTAAATAGGCTTTTATTGTGAAACATTTGCAGGAACTTCCTGTGGAGGATTCAGTGACTTGCGTGTTTGCGTACAGTGCTTCAAATGAAGCTCCTGCCATCTGCTGACGCTTTTTAGGTGACTGCAACAGTATTTCAGCTGACACATGAACAGACACAGTGACTGGAATAATAGTAGTAATAATAAAAATAGGACAAGAATAACCTGATGACATCACACACGTCGTGAAAGACGACCAGGGATGATTGGAGTGGACCAACGTGTAGTCTGTCATGTCTGTCGGCCAAGTCATGGCGCAATTTTATGACTCCACAATCACGTAATGTGACATAGTGACTGTTAGAACAGACAGAAATATCATGTCGTGTGAATCAGACATTAGTCAGACTGACACAATAAATCCATTTTCTCTGATGTAATGGAAACATACTGAGTGTCACAGAAACTGTTCCGCAATGGATTTAAAGAACTTTTACTGCTGCAGTCTCCATGTCAGATAGAAATATATGTCCTGGGGTCATCTTGTCTGACTTCTTAATTTAACAGTTGATATATCATTAATTAAATTCTAATGTCTTATTATTAAGTCTTAATTTTCACTCTCTGAAACACAACGTAAACTATTGACAGTTGAGCCTCTGAAACCCTCTGTAGATGCTTCCTGCCTTTCTACTGCATTTCATTACAACTGGGAACATATCAGTTAGAAAAATGATAATCATGAAGTAATAATTAACAACTAATTATGTCTTCTGTTTGCCCACCTTTAAGAAAAAGTATCTGGACCACACTGTGTACCTCATAGAGACTGGTGAACTGAAGGTAACCTACAGAAACACTGATCAAAAATGATATGTTGAGATTAAATATATGTTAAAGCATATTGTTTAACGTGTGTGCTCTTTTAATGCAGGACACATTGGAGTGTACAGTGGAGAGACAGTGCATAGCCGGACACGAACCATACTGTCTATGGCTGGATCACTGCTATGACAGAGTGAGTGAACAACACCAACCTTTCATTGCTGTTGTTTTTGAAGTTGGTGTCAGGTTTGTTGTGACTTTTGTGAATGATTGTAAACTTCAGTGTCTCATTTTCTTCTCTTGTTAAGCAGAAGGATGTGCCAAAAACTGAGACTGAAAAGTGTAAAGGGAACCCTTCTGTGGGAATCAGTCACTATCACTTCGGGTGCTTGGTATCATACTACACATTATCCGAGCCTGTTGAAGGTACTGCTCCTACACATCCTGATCTTAAAATGAAAACCTGGGTCTGACGTCTGTTATTATTGTTCACATGTGCAGTAAAATCTCACCAAAGCACAAAACTAAACAGGAGACACTACAGGTGGAAACAGGTTTTTCATGCACAGCTCAGTTGTGGAATTTTGGCTGTTTTGCTTCCGTAGCGTCCAAAATACACACTGTGGTGTTCATTTTAGTTTGGAGTCTGTACCCACCAGTCTGAGGTTATGGACCTCGACTGGAGAGCTGTGGATTGCCCCCTCTGGGTTGGGAGAGAGTTACTGCCTCAAGCGAGGGAGTTCAAGTATCTCAGGATCTTGTTCACAAGTGAGGGTAGAATGGAGCTACGTCTACATGCCAACCCTCACCTAGTCATGGTCATGAGCTCTGGGTAGTAACTGAAACAATGAGATCACAGATACAAGCGTCTGAAATGAGTTTCCTCTGTAGGGTGTCTGGGCTCAGCCTTAAGGTGTGGACACACCAAACCGACAACAAAGAACTAGCGGTGACGAAAGTCAACTGTTGCGTCGTCTACGTCGCCTCACGTCGCCCTGTGTCAGTTGCATTTGAACACACTACACGGACTACATCCGACGGCCAAGTAGCACGTACGTTCTGCGCCTGCGTGAGAGAGAGCGGAGTGAGAGAGTGGTACATCCTGTCAGCCGAGGGGTTTCCTATCTGTGCAGCCGAGCACCGCAGCACCTCCACGGACTATTACATCCAGACGGTCCCGGTGTTTCCTCCTCAGGCTCCACTTCACTCAGCTGCCCGATAAACCCGCTGCTTCTTCCCACTTTAACCTGAATAACAAACTAGGGCTCAGTGGTCCGGTTGGATCCAAACGGAGAGCCGGGGCTAGCTCAGAGACTAGCGGAGGCTAACTGGCTGTGCTTCCCTCCGGTCATGCTGCGGCTAACGCTCCGCTAGCCGCTCCCAGCTAGCTCCGGTTTGTTAATCAGGTTAAAGTGTGAAGAAGCAGCGGGTCTGTGGGGCAGCTGAGTGAAGTGGAGCCTGAGGAGGAAGCACCGGTTAGCCCCGGTTTCACTACAGGCAGATTCACTCGCTACAGGGGCGAGGAAATAAAACCTGAACAGCCAATCAGAGTGATCTCCTCACCGACAAGCTTTGCCGCCGATTCAACATGCTCAATCGGCTGAAAAGCCGCCGATGTCCACCTGTAGTGTCTTTTTGTGACCAAGTGTAATCATAGTCCTGTGTTTCCTAAATCTGATTTTAACATTTTGAAATTAATAATTTGTTTCTCTGTCTTTGTTTTTGGATCACAGGCTGTAAAAACTATGGTGAGTATCCACGCTGCATTGTGAGTGTTGGTGTGTGGTGTGTGTGTCTTTAATTACTGTTATTATGTCTGTCAGAGTGCTGGCACCATTTTTTATTTTTTTTATTTGTCTATTCGCTTTAATTGAACCGTATAATTTTGCTTTTATGAGGCTCACCTTTGTTGTTGTAACACTGATCTCATCTGTTTTTAGAGCGTGTCTGTGAGCTCCATAAAGAGAGACAGCCTGTTAGTAAGTCACACCTTTTGTTAAGCGTTGATTTTAAAGTGCATGTTGCAGTTGTGCATGTGAAATCCCAGAAATCACGCTTGCTGTTGCAGAACTGCAGTTCTCCATCTCCTCACTATTCACTAAGAGAACCATGGATGCAGGCGTAAACTTTGGTTTTTAGAGCTTCTGCCATTTTTGAGCGATTTGCACATTTTCACCTCATCAGTGCCACCTGCTTTGTCTTTACTTTGCCTTGGCGCCACCAACGGCAGGTATTATGTTTCGGGGTTGTCCGTCCCTCTATCCATCTGTCCATCTGTCTGCCCAGTCTTGAAAACGCAACATCTCAAGATGCCTTGAGGGAATTTCTTCAAATTTTGGCACAAAAATCCACTTCAACTCAGCGATTAACTGGTTATATTTTGGTGGTCATAGGTCGAATGTCAAGGTCATCGTTCTCATTTTTGCGGAAGCAATATCTTAAAAACACCATGTCAAATCAAGCACACATCCACTTGGACTCAACGATGAAGTGATTAGAATTTGGTGGTCAAAGGTCAAAGTCAGTGTGAACTTGCATCAGTCTCCGTCTCATTCTCGTGAACACAGTATCTCAAGAACATCTTGAGGGAATTTCTTCAAATTTGGCACAGACATCCTCTCAAACGATGATGATGAACCTATTTAAATTTGGTGGTCAAAGGCCAAGGTCACTGTAACCTTGTATCCATCTCATTCTCATGAACACGCTGACTACATTTTGCTGGTCATAGGTCATCTTTCTCATTCTTGTGAAAGCAAAACACCTTGAGAGTATTTTGTCAGATTTAGCACAAACATCCTCTTGGACTCAATGATGAACTAATAAGAATCTAGTGGTCAAAGGTCACTGTCACAAAGGTAATTTCTTCACATTTGGCACAAATGTCCACTTGAACCAGTGATGAAGTCGTTAGATTTCGAGGTCATCTTTCTCATTCTTGATAAAATAATGAAGGTCAAAAGGTCAAAGGTCAGCTTCACTGTGACACCATCATGTTTTAACGTCATATCTCAGGAACAGAAGGGGAGACATTTGGTCAGATACTGAATTGGTGACTCTAATCTTGAAACTGTGCTTATTGTATAGATCTTCTTTGCTGTTACTAATAACTAACTAACTCAGAGGCTAACGCTGTGATAGCAGCTCTGTGAGGCTAAAGTTGCTATCATCAGCGCGCTAGCATGCTCGCAGTGTAAATCATTACACGTTAGGCAGGTATAAAACAGAAGTCACCTTCTGCTGAACTTTAAAAAAGTCTCTAAAAGATTTACTAGTCTATTTTTATGGTATCCAGTTCTGGCTGAAATAAGTGCTGCGACACTGAAACCACGAAATAAAGATCATTATTTTAAGCAAAAGGAAGTTTGGAATCTCTGAGACCTGCACGACCACCAACAAATAGACCACATACAGTAACAGATTCAGGATATTTCAAATCCCTGTACTTTTAAATACCAACTTTAATTTGACCCATTTTTCCTCTACTGCTGCTAATATCACTAATGCCAACAGTATTTCTGCTTCCTCTTACTGACGCGTAAAACTCATTTTGCTTTTCTTGCCAACAAAGTCCCCTCTTGTAAGATTTTATTACTGACTGACTGCTTTCTGCAGTTTCTGAGGAGACAAAACCATCACAACGCCCACCACCAACAACAACAACAACAACAACAACAAAGGCAACACTGCCAGAAACAACAACAACAGCAGCACCAACAACACTGCCAGACACAACTAGAGCAACAACAACAGCAGCAGCACCAACAACAAGACTGCCAGACACAACTAGAGCAACAACAACAACTGCAACAACAACAACAACAGCCTTGTCACCAACAGTCACACAGAGCACAGTTAGCGGAAACAATGGTAAGCTATTTAAATGGCACTTTATATGGTTAGATGATCGCTACGGTTACCATGGCCACAGAGAATACTCCTTTATTGTTTACGGATTTTTGATGCTTCAGCACTGGCAACAGCCGCTTCAAATTTTCAGGTCGTTCATCTGTCGGTGCCATTCTTGCAATATCTCAAAAACATCCATCAATTTTCAACTGCTTATCCGAGGCGGAGTCGTGGTGGCAGCAGGCTGAGCAAAGCGTTCCGGACATCCCTCCCCCAGCTCCATCCCAAGGTGATCCCAGGCCAGACGAACCATTCTTCCCTCAAGATCCCTCTTCGCCCAAATCGGATTCAGAATGTTGATAAAAACAGGAATTAGCAGTCTGAGTCCATCAACATCTCCACGACTTGTGCAACCATACACTTTTCCGTCTATGCCGGCATGTTCGCGCAGTTTACAAGTTGCTACATTTCCGATGTAAACAACAACATCGGTTTCCAGTGGATTTTCTTGTTCGTTTGTTTTTGGACATGGCAGTGCCGTTCTATGTCAGAAGACGTGTAACAGCGCCCCCCATTGAAGACACGGATTGCCGGAATATCTTGTCGTGTTAACTAGGGACGCACGATAAGATCGACACATCATTGGCATCGGCCCAACAGCTTTAAAATGAGCTATCAGAATCAGCCAACATGCTTTTGCATATTTCGCCCAATGAATGAATATTACATACACTGAAAAGTATTTCATGTCTCCATCTGCTGGTGGGCCGTCACCATAAGAGTATGTATGTATGATATGATGTTAATTCCACTACAGAAGAGACTTGATGATCACTGAAATTAGGTGGGGCATATATTGATATCAGTATCAGTTATTGGCCAAATGAGTTGTTACATATCAGCATATCAGCAAAAAATCCAATATCGTGCATCCCTAACGTTAACTTTCCCACATCCAATGAAGAGCAGAGAGTCTCTTCCTTCCTCTTCCTCTTCCTCTTCCTCTTATCTGTGGGATGCATCCTCTGTGGTGGACGAGACAACCCCAAACCAGGCTGAACAGGAACATGCTAAACGCTACAGCACGTTAACTCATAATAAACTGACCTCAGCATGCTAACCCGATCAAACCTTAAACAATAAATGACAGTTCAAGTGGCCATGGTACCAGAGTGATACTGCGCTCTGTAATGTCCCATTATAGACAATAACAGACTGCTGTGCATCGTCATGTTCTTTGACTCCATCTTATGGGTCGCCTCAGAGCGCATTATCACCACTCTGAAGATGTTATATTTATTATTTTATTGGTTGAGTGTCGTTTGAGTCGTTTCATGAAAAACAAGACGTGACTCCTTCTAATATATTGCTATTCTTTCACCTACCTATCAGCCCTTATGTACATCTAATTTGTGTTTTGGTTTGATTTGAAAAAACAAACAAAAAAAAACAACGATTTGACACTGTGAGGTTTGATATATCCCTTCAGCATGTTGTCCTTACTGCTGTATGAGCATGTCCTGTAGCTGAAGCTGAGAGCATTTATGAATCCATGGTTGTCCAGTGATCGAAATAAAATGACACTAACAATCAATCACTTGCAGCTGCATGACTTTTACAGCTCGCGCTGAATGCAGCAAATGAAATGAACGATTCACTCAACCAGATCGCATGCTTGCTGTGATTTGTCATGTAATCATTCAAGGGTAAAAAATACAGTTTTCCTGTTTAGATGCTTTTGTATAAGAACCGTGCTTTGATATTTTGACTCTCTGATTTTCTGCATTTTTAAATAATACTAGTATCTTTTTTTGTTTCACACTGTGAGTTTGCATCGTACTGATATTTCTTTTAATCTCTCCATAGCCAATAATTCAAAGATTGTACATGAAGCAGGTAAGCTTTTTTGCTCTTGATTCAAATGTGTGTATTTGGCTCTAGTCTGAGTTTAGTCTGTAAAACATCATGAAATAGTGAAGTGTCTTTAAACTGCATGATTTGACCGACCAAAACTCAGATATTCAGTTTAAAAACTGACATAAAAACTGCCAGTCCTCACTCTAACCCCCTGAGAGTTTTTGTTTGGTATGAATTTTTAATTTGTCCCAGATATTTGGGATTAGTAGAGCCTGATAAGAATAAAAATGAAGCATTGTCTTTGAACAGCATGTAGTTTTGGACAAAAACAATGTCCTCATTTAGACACTGGGTTTATTTTCAGTCGTCACAAGTGTTATAAAGGCAGGGCAGCTGTGTTTGCTCTACAAACACAGCAATTCAAAGTGCTTTACAGAGCAATAAAATATAAAACACAATAAAGGATACAGATTTACAATTAAAAAACAACAACAATAAACTATTAAATGAACATTAAATTAATTAAGTAAATCATTTACAATTAAAAAAAGCAAAAGTGCAGACAAGAGGTGCAATGACAAAAATACAAATATAAAGTTGCAGTGCAGTTTAAAGTATTTGAGTAATGAGAGTTACAGTGCAGTGTAAGAAATAAATATTTGAATTAATAAAAGGCAGCGGCAAACATAAGTCTTCAACTTTGATTGAAAAGAAGCAGAGCTGCAGTTCTCTGTGAGTTAGTTCCAGATATGTGGAGCATAAAAACTAAATGCTGTTTCGTCCTGACTCTGTGGACACAGAGCAGACGTGTCCCTGAAGACGAGAGAGGTCTGGATGGTTCGTACTGTAGCTGCAGGTCAGAAACTGTTCAGTGCTTTATAAACCAGCAGTTGATTCTCTGACACACAGGAAGTCAGTGTAAAGACCTCAGAACTCTCTTGGTGTTGGTGAGGACTCGAGCGGCAGTTTTCTGAATCAGCTGTCTGACTCCGTCACAGTAGTCAGGTCTGCTGAAGATAACTGCAGAGAGAAGTTTTTCCTGCTCATGCTGAGACATGAGTGCTTTTATCCTTGAGATGTTCTGAAGGTGACAGCAGGCAGACTCTGTAACTGTCTTAATGTGGCTGTTAAAGTTCAGCTCCGAGTCCAAGACTGCACCAAGATTATAAAGAATAAATCTGTTTATTTCAAAGGCTGAAAAACATTGTGCAAAAACAAAATTACAAACAATGCAACATGTGTTCAGTGTTTTGTATCTTTGTCGGTCAGGGGTCAACGTTCAAGTCTTACCTCTTAACTTTTTACTTCATTGCCTGAACATGCCTGTGCAAAAACAAAATTGCAAATGATGCAACATATCAGACAGCCTTGTGAGGTTTGCATGAATTTTCCCTGCTCCATACTCCGAGCTAGGAATGTCCTTTATGTCTGCAGGAACAGTCGGTCACACTTGATTGTCCTGTGTGAAATGCTGTAGTTATACAATAATAAAGTCCCAATGTCCTCGAATGAGTACTTCCCAATAAACAGCATCTTACCTCGTTACTATTGTTTAGGTTGGTCAAATTTGTTGTCATATCAAACTACAAACATTCTCAAGCATAAATAAACAAGTTCCAATCATCAAATCTTATCAGGTTTTGGACCTTGTCCATTTTTGTGTCGGGGTCGGTTGCAGACTGACTTGGCAGAGATGGCTGCCATCTTGTTTTTACTAGATTAAGATGCTGATACACCAAACTGTGTCGAAGAGTGAAGTGGAGCCTGAGGAGGAAGCACCAGTTAGCCCCGGTTTCACTACAGGCAGATTCACTCGCTACAGGGGCGAGGAAATAAAACCTGAACAGCCAATCGGTGATCTCTCTCACCGACAAGCTCCGCCGCCGATTCAACATGCTCAATTGGCCGAAAAGCCGCCAACGCCGAAGTGCCGACGGTGCGGGACACACCGCAAAAACTAGGCCGACAGACGCTCACCGATGGCCCGACTTTGGTCGACGGCCGACCGTCAGCTTGGTGTGTCAGGGCCTTTAGAGGTTGTGCTCTTACTGCCACTAGATGGCACAAAAAGTGTCCACAAACGAGGACAACAGGTCTAAGTTAAGCTACATGAGGTATAAGGTGCAGCAATCCAAAAATGTACTGTCCACATATGAGGACGCAGGGCTGCAGGAGGTTAAGAATCCAAAATATGAATTTTTTTTGTCAGGAAATTATTCAAGCAATTTATTAATTATTTCATGTTGGCAGTTAATTTTCTTGTTTCATGTGATTATTTTTGAGTGGTTATAAGAGTGAATAATTTTATCGCTTCTTTACTAGACAAGAAAATATTAGATAGAACTTGTTTTTACTGCCTTTGTTGAGAAGTAAATAAAGAAATGATCACTGACATATTTATTTTTGATCTTTTCACAGGGAATGATAATACAAACACAGGTAAGTTTTTCCCTTCTTTAAAATCAGCTGATTTGGTTTGACAGAAATATTTCAGAGATCTGGAGCTGCTCCAGAATCACAAATATTATAATTAGTTGAGTTTAATCACATGGCTGGTTGGGACATATTTGTTTTTAGTAGTTTGAAGCTATTGTTTGTTAACTAAGCGCCGACTCAGTGCCAATACATAAAACAAAATTTGCAGGTTTATTGTCTTACTATAGACGTGTAGTTTATAATATTTATTTTCTCCAGTAAATAAAATCCACCAGCATCTGTGTGTTTTGTATCACGATGTGACATTAATTAGAAATGCCACATGGAAGCTACACATGGTGCTCTCATTAGCTCAGACAGGCTACAGTGAGTTTTAACAGTGAGTTCAATTTGTGAAATATGTTGCTGTATGCAAATGAAGAAAATCAATATTTTTTCAGTCACTGATGAAATGTTTTTTTTGTTAAAAATAATTGAAGTTGTCTCTGCTCTCTCTGTGACCAGACCCCCTCAAGATATTCTTAGGGATTTCTGTGATCTTCAATGTGATCGCAGTGCTGGGTGGTTTGTACATGCGCCGCCGGTGGACGCAGGACAGTAAACAGTGGGGAAACGTGAGTAAAATCATGTCTGATTGTTACGGTCCACACAGTAGTGTATTATCTGCCTAATATATATTCAAGAAACATTTACTGGGATTGTTGTACCAGTGTGCTGCTGCATCAAACTAATTTTAAGTGTCATTTATTTTTCAGATGTTAGTCCTTGAGTCGAATGGATACCCAACAGAAGTTCCACTAGCGACAGAGCCGAGGGTACGGCCACAGACGTTTTTTCATTCATTCATTCATTCATTTCCTGTAAATCCTGTTAGGGGTTGCTTATCTCAGCGGGGTTCACCCTGGACAGGTCACCAGACTATCACAGGGCTGACACAGAGAGACAGACAGCCATTCACACTCAGATTCACACCTACGGACAATTTAGAGTCACCAATTGACCTATGGCTATGGCAGGTGTCACAGTACACGGCATTTCACAGGAGGCAACTGATGATTTTTGGAGACATAACGATCAGATGTCATTGAGAAGTAACCAAAAGGGCCTAAACTACGCATTGGAGGGATATATTCATCATTTTATTGTTGAGAAGGTCGATGAAAAGCTTAAATTACAAGCCAAAATTTACAGGTCACAGTGTACGCTTGTGAACCGCATCTGGTTGCCGTCACCATCAAAGACAACAAGTTAAAGTGCCACTGAAGTTAAGGTTTTTGGCTCAGAATATGAGAAAAGGATAACGGCCTTTTTACCATCTTTACCAAGAGTGTCTCTCCGTTAGTTTGGTGCTACAGTATTTACACTGAATCATTCAGCATAACGTTTGCCAACCTTTGTTATCTCTGCCATTACAGATAAGTTAATGAAGCTAAGCTCCAGAAGTTAACGTTAGCTTAACTAGAGCCCTTTGGACAACAGCTAACAATGATGTACGATCACCAAAGTACAAAACTAGAACAAAATAGGCTAATGAACTCCCAGCAAACAAGGTGACATGATGAACAACGCAGCTAGGAGCTAACGTTAGGCTAACTTTAGCTAACGTTAGCTAGAGATGTTAAAGATAACTTTATATTTCTTTCCAGCAAAGTGACAATATGTTGCCTCAAACACAATGTTGACTTACCTTAGAACAGATGTAGACATCATTGTTAATCTTATTCACGTTGAGTTGATGTTGTGGTCTAACGTTACCACACAACTTTATCCAAAGGAGACACTTTTCTCGGTTGAGATGTGGTTTAAAGTGTAAAAAATACACCTGGTCGCCCAGCCTCTCAGGATACCTTGTGTCAGAGTTGCATGTACCCCATGCACACCGTTTGACCATTTTTAAACTTCAAATCTCAGAAAAAGCTCATAAAACCGAACAAAACTGACTTTCTGTAATGCATTTCAATGGACGTCCAGGCAGAGAATGTCCCAGTGTATGGGAATGGCTATACGCACTGTGATTGGCTCATCACATTTGAGGGCGGGGCTTAGCCATAGGTCAATTAACCTGCATGTCTTTGGACTGTGGGAGGAAGCCGGAGCACCTGGAGGAAACCCACGTTGACACGGGGAGAACATGCAGAATGCATTTTTTCACGTCTATTCATTCTGTTTAAACCCAGTAATTCTGCACAGTTGCAAGATTAGGCTACACTAATAATGTTAGTATTATAGGAGGTAAGTTTAAGTTAATTTTGCTTTTCATAGCCTGACACCCATTTATTGCTAATTAACCAATTCATTTTTAAGAAAAATTAGGCTAAATGGCGTGAAATACAGAAGGCCATTTGTTTTAGTCCATCGTTCCATTGGCTCAGTGAGCTTTAGATCCACATTTCAAAGCCCTGTCCATTTAGTCCACTGCCCACCTTTTAGTCTCCACCATTTAGCTAACGTTAGCCTTGGCTGCTCTGCCTCGTGCATCACCTGAATCAGATGGGAGCTAGCAAGTGTCACCGCTCATTCGATATTACTGCTGGTAACGTCGGCCTTGTAAAACCATGCTAGCCACCCTCCGATCTCCCCCCAGGTAGCTTAGTCTTCATTCCGTTAGCAGTGTTAACAATGTTAGCATCACTAGCTGTGCAGATGCTACTAGCGGCACTAATAGAGCTAACAGTAATGACATAGTTAATAATACTGAAGGAGGGCAGCGTTGCCAGGTGGGAAATGTAGGATTATCATACCAGAGACTCAAAATTATTGTATTTTAAGGGAAATTATCGTACATCCATCATAAAAATAACAATCCTACTGATGCGCTATAAACAAATATAGTCACTCTAGTTTTTACTTTTTTGGTTTACTTTTTTTCCATTTTCCTTGCTTCTGTTTTTCCTCTTCTTCGTCTGTTTTGAATCTCATTCTTGCTCGACTTCCTGAGGGGTCCTAGCGCCTCGTGGGGCGGGTACAGCTGACCATTCAGCCAATCGTGCTCATTGTTCAGAGACAAACGTCACCCGTATCTCACGCTAAGCAAAATGCGATTGGCTGGAAACATGTCACATGGGAACAGATGCCTTCAGGGCCCACAAAAAAACTCTGGCATACTGATTACAACCACACATTCATGAAATGGTCAAATTATCGTACATTTGGCCTTTTTTGGGGTTACTGATCGTACATCGTACAGAGGGCCAAATTATTGTACAAATACGATAATTATTGTACACCTGGCAACGCTGAAGGGGGGTTGTGGCTTAAAATTGAGCCGTTTACTGACTGAGTGTCCTAGGGAGAGATCGAAGGGTGGGCAGAATGTTTCCACAGCAACACTTTGAGTCAGGGCGGCATTAGATTATTAGCGGTAAATGCCAAATGAGCGGTGCCAATAGCTAGCTCCTACCAGACCTGGTTCGTGCACAGTAACGTTAACTCACTGTATTTCAGACATCACAGTATTCCTGACGCTTGACCTTTCGATGTAAATTAGTTAATTAAATACTTCCAGATCACAATCATTTTTCCTCCTTTTTATCTTTAACCTTGACCCATGCTGCACCCTCCCACCAAGTTCAAGGAAATTCGGACAGCAAACACAACCACAAAACACAACCTCCATGGCAAAGGTTAACACGACTCCATTTGAGGGCAGCACTAGAAACAGTCAGCCGTATGTTCCGAAAAAAGTAAAGCTAGTGATGTAATCCAAACTTGGTTTTGTTTTAGGGATTTGAACCCACAACCATTCAGCTACTGCTGCTAGCTTCAACAACATGTCACCTGCAATGAAACACGTTCATCAGACTTCAATTGATGTTTATGTTCAACACTTTCCTCTCTTTCAGTCAGAAACACCGCTGTCATCTGCAAACAGGGAGGAAGAGAACATCCACCTCATGACGGTAATTTTGAGTGTGATACCATTATATCTAAAACACTGTAAAACGACTTTTAAACACAACAATAGGGCCTTTGGATGATATTTTTATTTTCATACACAGACGTGACAGAGGCTTTTAAATGTGTTACACACACTTAAACATCCAGTAGACATCAGCATGAACATCTCTTAGGAGGTATTTTATTTTATTTTTTTGGCTGTTATCTGTCTGTCTGTCTGTCTGTCTGTCTGTCTGTCTGGGTCTGTAGCTGCTAGATGGACCTATCTGTCTGGACTTATCTCTGGCCTGGAAGGAGGCATTCAGGAGATTTGTCTGAGCTTGTTTGTGTTTTGTATGGATTGATGGGTTGATGAAATGATGAAATCCAAGTACACCACGAGTTGTGGCTGCAGAGCTGGATGTTATATCTCAGCAGGTTTGGCCTCAAGAGCGACTCTTTCACATCGAGTCCTTAGATTAAGTGTTAATCATCTCAGAAATATTCCTAACTGCAGGTTGAACTTTTGAATCTTTTTGAATCCTTTGACATTTACTATAGACTCTATGTGGAAGTGAGTGGAGCGAACCCTAATGCTAGCTGCTAGTTTGGTTGGCACAGTCCATTTACAACAATCTTACAGTTAATGCAATGAATGTGCTGAATGTGCATATTAAGGCAGTACAGGAGGAGGTGCACATTAATAATCCTCCAGGACTGTAACATGCTCATGTTTAACCCAAACAATGTGTCATGTGACTGCAGTTGCTTCACATCCAGGTCGGAACACCTTCTCACCACAAACCAACCGCACCAGAGTTCCTTTG